GCAGCAAACTGGCTGAGAGGACATTCCATCCCTTCCTCCAGGTCCCTGATGAATACACTGAATAAGTTGCCATTCCTTTATTTCACCCATTTTAAAGTCCCAGTATTGTCTCAAGATTTGAATTTCCTTACCAGTGTCCTCCTCCGTGTAACTCTTGAAACAAACTTTTGTTGGTGTAACTGATAAGGTTACTTCCTCCTGACTGCTCGGAAAGTGAACCATGATGTCAGCCAGCAGCCTATAAAATGTAATTCAACATTAAAATAATTGTACATGCCACAAATTACTAACTAGCCGTTCTCACTCATGTTAGACATTGAAATCGTTCCGTGGTGCTGCTCGTGGACAAGCTGCCTTTGAAATGCGCGGCCCTTAAGGGGTGCTGTTCCTCCTCGGTTCACTTACACCAACGGGGCGTAAGAAGCGTAGAAGCACAGCCAGTGCTGAGGAGAGCAAAGCTGGCGAATGCCGCTGTGCTGCCCAGTCAGCCTCACGTAGACGTAGGCTGCTGACAGCCCTGGGCGCGTACGTGTCACAGTTCTGAGCAAACCCAATACCCCCGACGCAGAAGCCTGCGGCTTCACAAGTTGCGCAGTCTTTCTTGAAACACCACGTAACGCCTACGCCGGGAAGGCCTACGCACCCTTAGCGGTTGGTTACTGCGACCAGAGCTCCCGCGCACAAGAGACACTTTAACAGACTCTCCCTGTCCTGACTGTTCTGTGCCCTCGCCTGCAGGACAAGCCAAACCTTGGCTTCTGCAGGGGCTGCTTTTCAAAACAGCCAAACCTGGACCTTACTGCCTTAAAATCTGTGGATTTTACCACCAGATTCGTTGTCTATAAAATGAAAACCCTACTTCACTTGTCGTAGGTGGAAGCCGCTCAAAGGTGTGAATTCCAATGACACATTACACGCTTCTGGGCTAGACTGAGTAGGATTAATGGCAGCGATCCCAGTCCTGAAGCTGTAGCGTGAAAAATCAAGCATTGGGTACGGGATTTAGGAATTCACCCTTTCTGAGTGTGCCCGGATCAGATTTTTCTTATGTGAATGGCTGTGGCAGCACTATCGCCCCCTGTGTGATTTCCCACCCCCCCTCCAGAAAAAGTATTTTTGATTTCCTTACCTGGAGTGGACTTTCAGCACGTTTGGACACATGTGCTTTGCAAAAACAGCCTGCAACGGATCACACTCCCGAAACGTCAGGTTGTATGTTTTTACAACACCTAAGCATAAAGGATATGACAAAGATTAGGGCCGGTCTCTCATTTCAAATGGTTTTCAGTGTTAATTGTTCTTTCAGGAAACCTCAGTATTGAGAAAGTAACCACGTGACTTACTCTAGCTACGTGGAAATAACTCGCCCACAAAGAGAAAAGTGAATTCCAGCCTAATTCTGTGTGTGGTAGTCAGCAGCCTGACAGTTGGTACGTGGTGTGCACTGGCGACTGAACTGCCGCTGACACCACCTCACCGTAACGGGTGACGCGCACCGTAGGTATAAATTGTGACGTGAAGAGGCTGAAGTGTTTGGCATAACGTCCCATCAACAACACGCAGTTAATAATTGCACCAAATGTCACGTTGCCCTGATGCTTCAAACCGTTTCTGTGGCGTCACTTTAGGCGTAACCTACCATGTTTGCAGAAGAGCTGAAAAGTCACGTGATGACCACTAGTATCTGTATAAATGCTGCATCTCTCTACGTTCCTTTCCAGCATATTTGCACATCTGAATACAGGGAGAACTGACTAAAAAATAAAAAAAAGCACAGAGGTTATTCACCAAGCCATTTTGCCGTGTTACTCCCCTAGTTTCCTACAGTTTATGTCAAGCTCCTGCTTTTATGGCTTCCCCAAACCCGCTGTGAGCAGGCACTGAGGCAGCCGATACTCATCCTCGCCACCTTCACCCACCGTTCCAGCACACGGGCAACAGATCTGTTTGCTGACCAACTGCTGAAAGCCCTCCTGGCTCATACTGGTTTGGAAGGCTACAGGAGAAACACTCCAGAGGCAGAAATGTGGTGTTCCTGCACGCCAAGAGGAAGCTGGTTCAGACCCTGGGAGCCGCAGGGCACGGCTCGGGCGGTGCACCCCCTGAACACAATTACATACCGACGCTCTCTTCGGCAGCATCGCTCAGAAGCACTTGGGTTCAGAGCCACCCACCTGCCTGTATGAGCCTCCCCCTGTAATTTCAGTTGGAAACTGGGCTCGTTTGCTGCTTCCAAAGCTGTGCGTAACAGTTTGTTAAAATGTACCTTAATGATCAATTTGCATGGACGGGATAGCTGTTTTTCTTTCTGACGCGGCTGAGACACAGCTGTCCAGCAGTAATGTTGGAAAAACATAGATGAGAAGAAGACACATGCATATGCTGACCTGGAAGAATTCACTGATCTTAAGGCAAGCTGAAAATAGAAGGAAAACAATTGATTAACTCAGAACTATTTGATATCGAACCTTGAACAAAAAGGCCATCTCGGTGTTTCAGCACCACACCAGAGCCACGAAGCCTTGGGTGTGTACATCTTGGAATGAATACAGCTGCACCACGGCATCGTGTTCAAACTTAGCACCTTTGTGGGCAGAAGTCACTGGGGTGATCCAGGCACCGGAATCCAACCTACGGGCATGGAAGCGGCCCTGAAGTGAGAGTTTCCTACTTGCCTGTGAGGCATTTGGAAGGCTGGAGCTGCTCCTAAAACAATCTCCCTGTACACCCATCCACGTGATACGTACGAGTGAGCAGAGACACTACCAGCACCTCAAAAATTCTTCAGGTCTAGAAAGAAATTTTCTCTGCTTCTGATTTTCCAGCCTCCCAGCAAATTGAGTTGATCACTTTTAAGGAAGAAACCTCTAGAGAAAACCCTGATTCTGCTGGAAATGGTGTTTTGATTAACCAGAGGCATATTAATGGCTGCATTCTTCCTGTTGAGTCATACCGGTACAAAACCACGTTGTTTAGAGGCAACTTCTGACGGGGTACAAAACACAAACCTTTTGACCCGTGACAACAAATAAACCCCTTGGTATTAATCCGGATGTCCTGGAGAAGCTCTGGTTTGCGTAATGAAAAAATCAGAGAATACTAGGGGCAGAGTAGGAATGAACCTTCCATGATGTAGTTGGCATCGTTGCAGTTACAGAAAATACGGCGTTTGTCCGTAGTGAAGGTGGAAGAAGCCGAGAGAGAACGTAACAGAGACTGAAGGGTACCCGTAGGAAAACACACGGTATCCAACAGCATAAATACTGTGCTTCCAAGAGTTTTAAATTACAATAAATCAAAGTCACTTACACCTTTTTCTATGGGATCAAACCAAAATTCATCACTAATACGTGCTATGGCGTTTTCCGAACACTGGCGGGAAAAGAAAACAGTGCAACTGCATTCTGAGTTAAAAAAGTTATGCTGCATTTTCTCTAGAGTAAGAGGAAATGTGACAAATTTCCCACATTTCAAACAAAACTGAGGACATGGTGGAAAAACAATACCCTTCCCTTTTTAGCAGCACAAACACCTTGATGTTTTTGAAAGCCCCTCAGATGTCACCCTGCGCTTCGCAGCGACCGCCCTGACCTGTGTCACCCCACGTTAATTCTGTCTCATCGGAGAAAATGCCGAGCAAGTTGGAAATTGCATTTTGTAGATGGCTCTGAACAACTTTCACAGAATCATGGAATGGTTTGGGTGGGAAGGGACCATAAAGCCCACCCAGC